CTTCTGCCATGCTGACTGCTAGCCAATCTTGCCATCTTCAAGAGCAGCTGGTGTAACATCTTTCCTAGAGGAAAAACAGGGCGGGGGGATGGGGAGCCAATGGTGCTAGAGACTCTGAAAGTTCCATGCCCACTGGAACTGGCTGAGGCAGAGGTGGGGAACTCTGCCCCCTTTTTTGACTTGTGGACTTCAATTCCCAGAATTCCTGAGCCAGCATGGAAGTCCACAGGACATAAAAGGGCCATATTTCATCATATTTCCCTTGGGCTAAGGGAAAGAAGTAAGCTTGATGGAATTAGAAAAGGGGTCAGGACCTTTACTTGGAGATAGTCGTATTGAGGTTGTTTCAACTCACTGCAACTCATCTCTTTGCTCTAAGAGCAATCAGGTTTAAAATTAATGGGCTGGGCTCAAGATATTTTGCTGCTAGGGGCTATAGTCAAAATGGACTCCCAGCCCATTTATGCAGAAAATGACCCAGCTGGTAATTCAATTTACTTTATTCCTAGCAGTAGGGTATTGTCCTCCAATGGAAGCAACAGGCTAAATTAGGTGATCTTTAACAGATTCTATTCTCTAAGAAGAAAAATAGTTGGACAACTTCAGAAGGCCTGCTGGGACATTGAGGTGATGTTAAGGGTATTTGGGAATGACCTTGGGAGACAGAAGGAAGAGCAGAAGGCTAGGATCCATAACACAGTGCAGCTTAGCCTGCAAAAGAAATGTGAGCATGGTAAACATCTCAGAAATGACCCTCACTAATTTCCTGGATTGTAAAGGAGCCGAGGAGAGATGTACTTTCACACTTACAAGATTCTGTTAATATAGCCTTACAACAAAGGTAGAACTGATATTCCTATGTGTCTTCTTGCCTGGACTACCTTGCAAGGCTGACAGTGACCATTTCATTCTGCCTAATAGTAAAGTTGGCCCAAGTGAATTTTCAGCATTCATGCTACTTTTTTATTGCTGGGGAATCTTTGTGAGCTCCAGCAGCCAGAATGTGTAGACTATTTCATAGCCTTATATATACAATTATTTTTTAACAGCTTTTGAAGATCCACTGTTGATCTCCAGCAGTAGAGACACAGGCATACTGCTTTGAAGCTGATTTGGGATCAATACTTTTCTTTTTCAGCATAGTTACCTATACAGTTACAAAGTTTGATGCAAAGTTAAATAATCTCAGCCAGCTGCTCCAAAACTATTATATCCATACAAATTTGGAGCTCCAACTCTCTGAATTCCCAACACATATTAGAAGGGACCCAAGCGGAAATGCTTATTTCTCCCAACTCTCAGGACAACTCCAGACAGTTGTATTGCACACTGTTGCTATAAGATCATTGAGAGAGTCTTTCCATTAACATCCAGTGAAAGAGAACCTGCCATCCTTAAGTGAAGCCTATCACTATTAGAATCAGAATAGAGCTGGAAGGGACCTTGGAGGTCTTCTAGTCCAGCCCCCTGCTCAAGCAGAAGATGCTATATTATTTCAGACAGGTGACTGTCCAGTCTCTTCTTAAAAACCTCCAGTGATGAAAGACCCACAACTTCTGAAGGCCAGCTGTTCCACTGGTTAATTGTCCTCACTGTTAGGAAGTTTCTGCTTAACTTCAGGTTGTTTGTCTCTTTGATTAGTTTCCATCCATTGTTTCTTGTCCTGCCCTAGGGGGTTTCTTATGGTGTTTAGCCTAGATCTTCCTCTCTACTTATCAGATATTCGAAAAAGATGGTAATACATTTTCCTGTAGACCTCTTTCAATGTTTAGTCTTGGAAAATCAGCCATTTTACTACTAAATATTAGGGATGTGTAACCTCAAGGTGTTAGAAACTCCAGATAGGATCCTGGAGAGACACGGTTGTCAATTATTGATTTAAACTAAGTCGGTTCTCAAAGTGATTTGAAAGTGCCAAGAGAGGGACAGAACTGAGAATTACTCCGTCTTCCCTCCCTATTTATCTACACAGAGTATAACTCTGATTACATGTCAGAGACCCAATTTGGGACATATTTGTTGAATAGATTTGGGCCCTACAATGGCTATATAAACCTGACATATTTATGTCTGGTTATCTGATCATGATTTACTCAGAACAATTTTCTGAGTTCACATGGTACATTGAACTAGAAAACAAGCAGCATGAGCTAGTTTTATTCAATGTATTAGACAAAACCATTGTTCACTGTGTTATGGAAACAGAGAGTTTGTATGCACTTAATGAAATCACAGAGGGATCTTTATATTTTCTTTCACTCAACCTGTATTATCAGAAGACACAACCTTGCTAAAAAAATTCACACAGATTTATACAAACCACTATCAAACTAGTTCTATCATGGACAATTTCATGTTTGCAGACTGCCTGTGCTGTTACAATATTATCATGCATACATTAAGCATTTAAATGCTCACTCGAGACAAACAGAATGTTTGCTAGCATTCAAACCTTGGATAAAGATGATCAAAGGATATCGATGTCACTATGAAGAAGAAAAATAATATAAAGTAGGCAGATGGGTATAACTACAAGATGAAAAAGCTAAATTAAGGAAATGAACATCTGGAAAATCCTCCTGGCAGAGTTCCTAGCCAGAGTGTCAACCAGCATCCCAGAAAAGCCTCTAGATAGTCATCAATTTGGCATATTGAAAACTATTGTGGACAATGTCCTAATGCATTTACCATGGGGAGAAATTCCAAATTGCGGAAAAGAGTGGCTGCATAATTTGATTTTTCTTCCTTTTAACCCTAAAGTTCTTCAAACCTAACGTGGTGGTAGATGCTATTTGGAGCAAACCTAACGTGCTGAATTCATTATTCTGCAGAATACCTCTATTTTATCTCATTGTTTACAGATGTTTTTGAACCTCTGCCAATGTGACCAACAGGTGGCGTTACGTAATCTTCTCAATTAGTTTTCAAAAAACTGGCCCATCCATCCTATGAAATACATCAAGTAATGTTTAGATCCATTTCCAGTTCAACATTTTTTACTGGGTGAAACAGGACAATATATGTTCACAGGACTGGTCACGATGTTGCCACCAGAGGCATTCAAACATGCAAGCATTGCTCCTCTTTTCTAGCAGCAAAAATCCAAGTGACCTGTATGGGATTCACTGTTGGATGCATGTTGAATTGTCAGATGAATAAGAACAAAACTACCAGTCTCTATTAGCAGACTGATCTGAAGAAATCTGCCAATAAAGATTCTGCTACTGTATGGCAGAGATGGATCATAAATGGTCCAAATGTTTGGATATTTCTTTTACAAAATTAGATGTGGCTGACTAAACAAATACAAAAAGGAGTCTCACTTCCCAAATTCAAATTGTGTACTTGGTAAACTATCATCATGCAAAAGAAATCAGATGGCTTAATAACCAAAGGCTGTTTAAAAAGTCTGCAATAGGGGTCCTAAAGTAATTGAACCTGTGCAGTATCTTGCAGTGTTATGCTATCCTTATGGATCCAAGATTTAGTACATGGGTCCCCAAACTTGGCAACTTTCAGATTTGTGGACATAGCTGGCTGGAGAACTCTGGGAGTTGAAGTCCACAAGTCTTAAAGTTGCCAAGTTTGGAGATCTCTGATTTACTATCTAACTAGATAGCAAAGTCCTAAAGGATTTGTTCTCCAGATCATGAAATGTTTCAGCCTCCGTTTATGATTGATGCCCCACAATACAGGATTAAGAAAATGGCATGAAATATTGTCAGTCCAAGAGATGAAAAGCACTTGGTACACTCAGGTGTGCCAAGAAAAATGATGTGTTAGTCTTGGTGCTTTCTTAGACTAAAGAAATATGGATTCTCATCTTGCTGCTAATTTTGGCAGGGCAGTTTTTCAGTTCTGCATGCCTATTCCCTGACTTAAAAAGAAAACTTTTTAAGCAGTTTGGAGAGGGTGGACAAAGGTGGCTGAAGGATCTATAGTCTTTTGAAAAGACAAAGTGCCTGCAATCACGACAAAATCTTTGCTAGAATACAGGTAGTCCTCGACTTACAACAGTTCATTTAGTGATCGTTCAAAGTTACAACTGCACTGAAAAAAAGTGACTTATGATCATTTCTCGACACTTAACAATCCCATGGAGCATCCCCATGGTCATGTGATCAAAATTGAGACCCTTGACAACTAACTCATATTTATGACGGTTACAGTGTCCCAGGGGTATGTGACCACCTTTTGGGACTTTCTGATAAGCAAAGTCAATGAGAAAGTCAGATTCACTTAACAACTGTGTCTCTAATTTAACAACTACAATGATTCGCTTAACGACTGTGGCAAGAAAGGTCATAAAATGGGGCAAAATTCACTTAACAAATGTTTTACTTAACAGCAGAAATGTTGACCTCAATTGTGGTCAAAAGTTGAGGACTATCTATATTCTTGGCATAGTAGTCTTTTTTAAAAGGGGTAGTTGAATGCCACAGATATATTATTCTTATTCTCCTCTCCCAAATTATGTTTACTTTTTTCCACACTGCCATCCTGAACTAATCTTCAATTTTCAATGGATTTTATTATTCTTCAGCTCTAAATTGTCCCAACTTCCAAGCATGAAGGAAGAAACATATGAGAAAGTTGCCATTAACAAATAAGGCAAATGGTTGTTAAAGGAAAAAGAAGAGAAACTATTTAAAATGTAGCTCACTGAAACCCTTGGTGGGAAATTCAGAGTGAAACTTAAGGTTCTTGTATTCTTTCTATTACTCAGCTGTTTCTCTGGAAAGGTCATACTCCTGGGTCAAATATTATGTTCTGAATCTCAACGTTCATTTTCTTTACTCAGTATTTGACTTTGTCATTGTCACCTCTCATTCTGACTTGTTTGAAGGTTTTTTTGGTGTTGAAAACTACACAATCTTTTTCAATATGTTTCAGAAATACATTCAAATCATTCTAAAAGGATCATCTGAACTGACTCTTTTATTTTGAGCTTGGAACAATCTTTTTTCCTCCCTACTTTACATGTACTGCTAGAATATCAATAGCATTTAGTCTTATATACTGCTCCACAGCGTTTCACAGTCCTCTCAAATTGATTTTACAGAGTCAGCATATTGCCCCCAGCAATCTGGGACCTCATTTTACTAACCTTGGAAGGATGGAAGGCTGAGTCAACCTTGAGCCAGTCAAGATTGAACTTTTGGCAGTTAGCAGATTCAACCTGTAATGCTGCATTCTAATAACTGCGCCACCATGACTCTTCTGTATATTCTGTAACTAAGGCAGCATGCAAATCCATCTGTCAGAGGTATTAAACAGAAAAATGAGTAATGATGAAGAAGCTTCTTGGATGACAAGCAAAACGTCTTCAAAGAAAAACCAGAAAGGCCAGTTGCCTCTTGAGAAAGCACCTTTGAGCAAAGATGAGATATATCTATAGTAAAAAGAAGGAAGTTTAGCTATAGCAAACTCAAACCCTGAATCTTCAGTTACAGCCAAAAAATAAATAATGTTCGCCTTACAAAATAGATATTTCACAGTTGTTGGAAGTTGCCCTATAAAACTCAGATTTAGAGGGCAGCATCCACATTTAAAAATTGATCAATTAATTAAAATGAAAGGCTACCTGTGTACAGTCTGATCTGACTGAGGTGTCCACTACCTCTGTATGTATTACTATTGATAAAAGTGGGCAAATAATTATGTCAAATACCTAGTCTGGAAAAAATAAGATTGTATAGACAAATACAGAAATACTTTTCTTCTGAATAACAGCTATCATTTTAATGCTGTAGTTAATCTAATGAATAATAGCAGAACTCAATGTAATATAAACTCTCCAGAGTTTGATTTTTTTTTTTTTAAAAAAAGGATCATACAAACTCATGGAATACCTTCCATGGGTTTCCCCACCACGACCTCAAGAATTCTAAAATGATTCATGAAATAGGGTACACATTTGTCTTGGCTATGCCATTTGGGAGTTACTGTATAAAATGATGGAGCAGATACTGAATTTATCAAACTGAAATGCAACATTTGTGAATCTTTCAACACCCTCACTGGTACAAGTTAGATTTGCGCTATTCATTAAGTTAAGATATGGTTGGCTTGTTTGTGTAAATCCAGAAGTGTGCTGAGTTCACATTCCAAGATGTTGTGCAAATCCTGGATGAGTTAGTTACCCTTTGTGCAAACACTTATCTCCAGACTTTAATCCCCTATCAGTTGATAGGGGACAGCCTCTTCAGACCCCTATTTGACTGAGATAGCATTGGTCCTGGTTGCCAGTTCCATATAATTTTTCAGGAAAGCACTAACCCAGAGGCATTAGGGAACATGAATTTTGGTTGCTCAGATGATCATGATGATGTTGGTTGTTATGTTGTGGGAAAGACGACTCGAGACCAGTTAATCTTTAGTTGCTTTTAATTTTCTCTCGGGAACTGAACAACAACGGAGCCGCGGCAACCTCTTTTATAGCGGCTGCTTGCGGCTCTCGGCCAATGACGGCTATTCAATTTTCCCGCCGTCGGCCGGACCAATCAGAACGGAACATTCAAACATTCAAATATATAACATTGGTGGTGGTGATAATATTCAATTATTGGCAATTCTATGGGTCCTCGTCTGATCTTGCACTGCTTCTTTGACTTTATCTGCTTGGTGTAAGCTTTCATGGTGTTCAGCTATTGTGTACTTTGGAGGCCTGGTTTTCTTTTATCGCTAACTCTTTCCAGCATAATTGCTTTCTCCAACGAACTCCCCTGGAAAAATAAGTGAAATGCAGTTTTGTGATTTTTTTTCCTTCCAGTGACATGTCTGGTGTTATGTTCTCCAGTATTTGCTTATTGGTCAAAAAGCTAGGTCAAATACTTTACTCAGAACAACAACATGCCATTATCCCCCAAACACCATACATTAGAATCAACACACACAATAAAATAATATCCAATCCCCTTATTAAAATTACCAGGTGAGCAGCAGAAACACCATAAAATCTCCTATAAAAGGCCTGTGAAAAGATCCTTCCGGAGCCTCAGCCTCTATGGTAAAAGCATGGCTGTTACCTCAGAAGGAGAATTAATGACTGATATTAACCATATCTCTGACATGACTGACAAACCAGACCCTGATCATGACCTAAGAGTAAAGGGTGGATTATTTGCTTCTTCCCTATCCTACATACCCTTCTGGCTTGGTGAACTTGATCTCTCTGCTGGCTGTTAATGAAGCTGGAGATAGGAGCTTATCTAAAGGGAATGCTTGAGTAAGGAGCATGGCTCTGTATCTCAACAAGAGGAATAGATAATGCAAAGCAGCATCACTTTTCATCCCTTGATATTCTCTGCTTCAATGAAACAACCCCTTTTTCTACATATTCAGCATGGGGTGGAGGGGAGCCAAGAATCCCATAAGAGGAAATAGACAGAAGAGCAAGCTGATAAGATTAATGTGAGTCATCTTAAGCAAAAAGAGTCCTGCAGTGGCTCACCATGTGCAGTTTCTTCTGCACATTATTTGGATGTATGGGGAACAATCCTTTAACACACCCAATTCTTGGAAGACTATAGTGACTATTTTTAAAAAAAAGCCTATGAAGATTGTTCCTAACAGTCCACGTAGCACCAGAATTGCATTGAAGATGGATTGCAGTGAAGTTAGCCCCTCTCCGTTTCTTGCAACTTGGTTCTTGCTAAATGATGTTGGACTACAACTCCCATCGCTCCTACTTTGCAAGGCCATCTGGGCTTGGAAAGGCTGGTTGGGGAGAGGCCAGGAAAGGGACCTGTAATTCTAACTCAATGAAACTTGCAGCAACTTTAAAACATGTTCATTTTGGGTGGCAGTGATGTTGCCCCTTTGGGTGGAGTTTTGATCTGTTGGTTTGATAGTTTTGCTATTACCAAACAAACAGACAAATCGACTTTTCCACTTATTTCATGAATAGCAAAGGAGTGCAGGGACATAACTGTATCTTTTTATATGCTATGAGATATGTTTTGAGATGCCTTAGATAAAGAGAGACAATCTATGGACAAAATGCATACTTTTTTCTACTATTGTTAGATGCTTTTGGCACATTTCTAGCAGCAATTGATTTAAATTATATAAACATTGAAAAATGCTGTGCCTTTCTTGCCAGCAAGCAAAGCTCATAGATAAACATCTAACAGTTGGCCTGATCACTTTAGATCCAATATCAATTCCTTTTTCAAAAGGCAGAGTTCAGCAGATTGAAATGGTGGACAGCATTGAGAAGCCAAAGAACAAATGAACAGAGAGAGTAAAAGGCCACTAATGGAAAACAAGCTTTCCAAAAGTAGAAAATGTGCCACACATGGTCTTGGTAAAAACTGGTACCAGATTAATCTGCTTTAGGTAAGAGCACCTTCATGTGCAGCATTTATGTCACTCTAGTACCGGTGGACCACTTCCTCCCTGATCAATTTTGGGGGACATCAGAGTTGATTTTCTACTAGCTGCTGGCAGCCAAGCTCAATGACAAAAACTTGTGTTTTACAGGAGTTCTGTAGAACTCGGGGACAAGCCATTTTCTGCCTTGCAGGAAGTTTGGCTTAACCTTGCTTCCTGCTACATAAATTCTAGATTTCAAGGAAACCTTATTACTGGTAGTGAACCTGATCATAATCATTCAAGGGAGTTTCTAATTAGTTTCACAATGCCTGGAACAAATTGCCTGGCTTGGTTTTCCCTAGTTAAAGAAGCAGCAGGCACCCTCCCTTCCAGCTCAAGCAAGACATTGTATTACTTTGTCGGCTATACTTTGCAAATGGCCACCATGTTCACAGATCTTGGGATGAGGGAAGCACTTGACTGCAAAATTATGGCGTCATGCTACCATTATATTTTTTACTAAAACTTTATAGGCAGGGAGAAGGATGATTTGATAGTCAAGCACTCTTCCCCTTTTATCAACATCTCACATTTTATTTTGCAAACTGGCCAGCTGGGAGTACACAAAATCTTAAGAAAGGACTAATAAATTATGGGTTTTCCTTTTTGGGACAGATAGAGAAGAGTTACTTCAGGACTGTCATAGCTCAGGGAATAAGGGACTATTTTGCATTTTTCTATTGATCAGCTTGAAGTCAGCAGGAAGGTGATCACATCAAGCCACATGTGATTTTCTGGGTTTTACTTTAGGCTGTTCAGCAAACCCAGCCACTGTGGTTTGAAAATTAAGGTTTTAAGCTTAGCTGATCTAAAAAACAGTTAAGCAAATTGGATCTGATTAGTGCTAGGATGCTAGACCGCTAGGAAATACTAGGAGTAGGTTGGGGAAGAAATAAGTAAATCCCAAAGGAAACCACTGTGAAACCACTTCCAACACTGCCAATAAAATTACATGGGGATATCCTTAAAGTTACTGAGTCAACTTAGATGCCCTGTAATGCCTGCCTATAGTGATGTGATGTGGGCCATTGACCCTGCTCAACTTGCATTTTTCATAACTAGATATATTAAAAGGTAAATAAGCTTTGTATCTGTATTGTATTCTTTCCAAAGGAAATCAAACCTTTGAGCCAAACCAACAGCTCATCATAACTCAAATAAGACATACAGCTAATCATTAGGCTTGGAATGGCCCAGGAGTTGTACAGTATCCAGGTTGGCCTAGTAATGTATATAAACACATATGGTACATAAAGGCAAACATACAACTATAGTTTAGATTCTGTAAGTGCCAAATCACATCCCAGTCTAAAAACTACACTGGATCCCCCAAAGCAGTTTCGTCACTATCATTCAAACTTTCAGAGGTGGGGAAGGGGCTTTATTTATCAGACACTTCATAAATGCCAGCCATTTTGGTGACTGTAGAATCACACATTGTCAATCTCTTTGCAATCATTCACCTCCTTCCTTCCTTAGCCCCAGTCTTTCATCTCAAAAATCTAATTTGGCATTCTGGCAGTCTTAGAAGGCCCGTGGAAGCTGTAATATGGCAGTTCAGAAAGGTTACATGTAATAAGCTCCGATAGTTCCATAGAAGTTACTCCATTCAAAATCCAGATAATTAATCTTTTCCAAATTAATGATAACACAACAGCTTCTGCTCAGAGCCTTGGAAGCTTAGCTGTGTAATATTGCCTCTTTGGTGTTTTGGATAACATTTTACCGGATTAAAAAATGAACAGAGGCAAACAAATATATGCCCTTTCGTTGTTTTATTTCCTTGGCACCTGAAAAAGTCATTTAAACTGACTTTTGAAACCTAGCAAGAGAATGGCCAGACAGTAGCAATAATACTATCATGGTCAGCAATGATCCTCTGAAAAATATGGCAGAATTTCTAAATGCATCAATTGTTTGGTATTGCAACATACTATATCTTGCAAGTTATCAGGCATTCCTGTCAAACAAACATCCTATCAAATTATGTACCTGTCAACAGTGGTGTCCCCCAAGGCAGTGTTCTAGGATCAACTCTTTTCATACTCTACATAAATGACCTCTGTGATCATATCAAGAGCAATTGCGTTCTCTTCGCTGATGATGTAAAGCTGTTCAACACCACAGACAATACTGCTACCCTTCAAAAAGACCTTGACTATGTATCAGAATGGTCAAACAAATCGCAACTTCAAATCTCAACTAATACATGTTCTGTCCTACATATTGGCAAAAATATATATATATCAGAAAATAAAATACAGGCTGAATAGTCAAGACCTTGTTGATGATCCAAACTCTGTCAAGGATCTTGGAGTACTCATCTCTAATGACCTAAGTGCTAGAGCCCACTGTAACTACATAGCCAAAAAGTTGTTAACCCAATCTTATATAGCTTTTTCTCTGGTAATATTACACTAATAACTAGAGCATACAAAACATTTGCTAGACCAATACTCGAATACAGCTCATCAGTCTGGAACCCACATTATGTATCTGATATTAACACAGTTGAGAAAGTCCAGAAATATTTCACAAGAAGAGTTCTCCACTCCTCTACTCGTTGCAGAATACCTTATGCCACCGGACTCGAAATTCTAGACCTAGAAAACCTAGAACTACGCCGCCTTCGGTCCGATCTAAGTATAGTATATAAAATCATACATTGCAATGTCCTACCTGTCAATGAATACTTCAGCTTCAACTATAACAACACAAGAGCAAACAATTGATACAAACTCAAGGTTAATCGCACCAAACTTGATTGCAGGAAATATGACTTCAGCAACAGAGAGGTCAATGTCTGGAATACTCTACCTGACTCTGTGGTTTCTTCCCCAAACCCCAAAAACTTTAACCTTAGACTGTCTACTATGGACCTCACCCGTTTCCTAAGAGATCTGTAAGGGGCATGCATAAGCGCACCAAGGTGCCTACCATGCCAGTCCTATTGTTTCTTTTATTTTTTTATTTTTCTTATATGTATCCACGTATTCATAACTATGTTTTACTTATATCTATACAATTGTAAGCAATTGACAAAAATAAATAAATAAAATAAATAAGTTCCTAACGTCGTAGACTCTTTTAATCATCCTTTCCCTTTAGTCGAGGGAATAAAATTAGTTGTTGGCCTGATTGTAATTTGTATGGTGGATTAAGTTTGTATGGAAAAAAATCATAAGAATAAATAGCAAGGTATATTGGTGAGAGGGGCAATAAAAACTTTGGAAATACGCAGCCTGATGGCTCTTTATACTAGATTACTTTTTTTCCCATTTTTTTTTATTTCAATCTACATATAACAACAATACATTAACAGTATGGCATCAATATATCATACATCTCTCATTGCATATATTCATATTAATGCATACTTCTTCAATATTTATTTTCAACCTTAATCTCTCCAAATGCCTACCACCATATCAGTTAAACATACCTAGTAATTCCATTATTCAATTTTCTCCCTGTTTTATTTTATTTTTTAAATAAAAAATTCTCATTTGGCAAGCAGTATGGTTCCAGGTTTCACATCTCAATACAAACATGACCATAGTTACCTATTCATTTTATTTGTTTAATTTCATATTACGTTATCCTTATCATCATTAAATATTAAGCTTATTTTATCCAATCCCAATTCATATTCTCTTATCTTATTTTACAATATTATCTAAAATTCTCATCTCAGTTCTATGTTCATTTATTCAATTCCAAATCCTAATATATCTCCTTCCATTTTTCTTTGTATATTCTCATATCTTATTTTAAAATGTTATCTAAAATTCTCATCTCCTTTCTATTGTCATTTCTCATGTTACTTTTTTCTGTCACATTTGTCATTTTATCAATCCTCATCTATAAATATAATTTGAGCTAACCACCTTCATTCTTCCTTAATTTCAATCTTCCTATCTAGTATAAAACACAAATATATATATTTTTCTCAGATTCCGCATTATATTTTCTCTGTAAATCATCTATACATTACAAAATGCTATTTTCAATATATTCTTATATACCCCAACACATTGCCTTGCGGAATCCCTTTTTTTTCCACCCATTATCTCTCACTCTTTGAACAGTGTACCTTCTTTTCATCTTTGTTTGTTTCCTGTTCCTTTTTATTTTCTGGTCCTTTCTCTTAATTCCCCTTTTCCCCATTCTTATTCCTCTCCTTTTCTCATTCCAGTTATTAAACTTTTCTCTCTCCCTCTTTTGATTTTTCTTTTGCACTTCCTTTTTCTGCTTTTCCCTTCTCTCTTTAACCATTTTCCGAACCATTCTCCCTTTCATCATCCCATCAGACCACAAATTTTTAATTCTAATTCCTTATAGTAGATTACTTGAAAGACTATTCCACACCCATCCAAAATACACTTCCTTTAAAATGGGAGAGTTATCAATGGAAGGAAGCATACAGGTTCTCCCAAATTTTATTTTTAGGGAGGAGGAGATGTATTTTATTTTTTAGGGGAAGTTATTTATTTATTAAATTTAATTTAAGGTAGTCTTTCTTTCAAAAATACATAGTATTTCAAGCAAACTTCGGCACTAAAGCCTCTTCTCTGGAAGGCCTCCAATCGATGCCACCCTCTGAGGAACCTGACCAGTGTGCTTTGGGGAAAGAATTTAGCATAGTTGAGTACATGTGGGTCCTTTACAGTACAGTATTTTAATTCAAAAGCCTGAGGATCTGAAAGCCTTGGGAAAGACTGCACCCTCTTGAAGTGTCATGAGCTGGCTGGTTGTTTATCTCGGCCAATCACACTGCATCCTACTGTGACCAGGCAGGGCAAACCCAATGTTAGTGCCATTGCTGCTGTCACATTGCTTCAAGTCTCTGTCTGCAGTCCTACTTCTACACACTGAGAACTGCAAGCCAAGTGTGTCTCTTCCTTTCAGGTCAGAGAAAGGGGAACCATTGTGTAGCAGAAGGTAGATAGATGATAGATGATAGTTAGATAGATAGATTACCACAGTAAGAGACTATCATGTTTACCAATCAGAACGTGAAATCCGTAGAGGAGGTGGTGTTGCTATCTTCTTCAGCAACAGAGTGGTCAATGTCTGGAATACTCTACCTGACTCTGTAGTTTCTTCACCAAACCCCAAAAACTTTAACCTTAAACTGTCTACTATTGACCTCACTCCTTTCCTAGGAGATCTGTAGGGGGCGTGCATAAGCGCACCAATGTGCCTACTATTCCTGTTCTATTGTTTCTTTTTTTTCTTATTTGTATCCATTTCATGTATTCATAACTATGTTTATATTTATACCTGTTATCTAATAATTGCTTGACAAAATAAATAAATAAATAAATAAAAAGATAGGTAGCTAGGTAGATAGATAGATAGGCAGGCAGGCAGGCAGGCAGGCAGACAGAGACAGAGGTTCCCAACAGGAAACTGGTTTTGGTGAGGAGAGTGTGGAACAGACACGAATCCATATTAAAAAAGCAATTTAAAACATTTTGGCCTTGGCCATGAGTCCGAACTGCTGAAGCTGTCAACTCTGCTTTGCATCAACAACCAAGTTTTTTCTCAATTTTTGTTTTGACTGTAACACCTGGCTGAAATGTGGCAATAAACCAGAAACTAGAGGATTGTTACAGTCATCCATTGCCAGACAAGCAAAGGTCTCTTTTTTCTTTCTAAACAAAGAGTTTGCAAATATTTTCAACAGAGAACAAATGTATTTAT